TATTTTGGTGTTTAAAGGGTGATCCGGCAAAAGGTTTGAAGGATTAATCAAGCCTTATAGAAATTCAAACACTAAACACTTGTTTGAATCTCTAAAACTTAAGAACACAAAGAAAAGATGAATATGAGAGGGTATTTTATCTTTTGGATTTGATCTCAAGAAGGATCAATATAATAAGTGTTTTTTCAACATTTTTCAATGACCCAAGATCACCTATTTATAGCCAAATAGTATAGTTTTACGAAGTGGTGCACCTTATGGATGAAAAGTCACCAAAAAATCAACAAAAAACGACCCAACGGTCGTTTTTCTGTACCATGCGACCGCATGGTACAAACCCATGCGGTCGCATGGTACAATCCTACCGAGACCATATGGTCTCGGTAGGGTTCCATGCGGTCGCATGGTAATTTTTTTTTTTTTTTATTGTTGGTTTTGAACAATTATACCACTTCATAACATTACATAGCATCATATGTGTCATAATTTTAATAATTGAAAAAAACAATAAATTAATTTTCATATTAATAATAAAATAATCATATGTAGGAGGTCATGTAGAGTGACTACGAATAACATTACTCTTATTCAAATGGGTAGTAAAGATTCAAAGCACGTGGAATGAAAAGTCTTTAAGAGGGACATGCTCAAGTGACATATCAAAATTGACGGTATGTTTGACAAGGTTTTAAATTTTTTTGAAAATGTACAAGTGATAAATCGACAATAAATTGTGAGTCTCACTAAGTGTGTGGATGATAAATTGTGAACCCTACAAAATGTATTAATATTAAATTTTGGATCGTATAAAATAAATAGATAAAATCAGTTTACTTCTGAGTTTTTCCGTTCCACTTAATGAGACATGTTTGGACCTCAAAATTTGTATTTCATGTTTGTTTAGTTTTTTTTTTTTTTATTAAAAAATTATTTTTAAAATTAAATATTAATTTTATCTATATATTTTGTAGGACTCATAAATATTATTCCCTTATTTCTTAAAAAGTAAATTTTAATAAAATGAAATAAAACCCTAACAGAGGAATCTCAACAGGAATTTTTAGAATTATGTTCTTCAATTTTTTGTAGTTTTAAATTTTATACAATTGATTTTATTGATGACACTTTCAAAATGGGTAGGTATAATTTTTGCATTTACAAACAAATATCAACTTGAGACTATCTTGGCGCTGTGATCTTCTAATTTTTTGGTTTCATTAAAGCATTTAAAATATTAATAATTAGATAAATTTTTACCTAACGATACTTCAAAAATAATGAAAGAATTTTTTTTTTTCACGCAAGATAAACTTTACGTCATTATTATAGGTTACTACTGCCAAAGTTATACAATGATTTCTTATTTTTCAAGAATTTTTGATATATTAAGGATGTAATATGATGGATTTTTAGCACAAATAGTATTGAGAGATCTTTGGCAGCTTGCCCCATTTTGCTGGGCTTTTACCCTCTTATATAGGTAGTCAGATTGGAGTTTCTGCTCTAGTCATGTCAAATCTACAATGTTCGACCTAAACTTGTGTGCCATCATCCTTTTTGGAGATATTTGATTCATGGGAAAATTATATTACGAAGGGTCATCATAACACATAAGCTATATGCACGTACCTTAAGCTATCATGTGTCTCTTTTGATTGGTAGCTTTGGTGGTACCGCCTATTGTGGAGAACACATTTTCATTTGTGCAGTGGTGATGTTTCACATGACGTCTTCCATGGTCCGACCTGTATGGATGGGGCCTTGGGCCAATCTTCAACGCTATCTTTTTTGAATTAGGATAACTTCTCTTGACCAATTCAAATTGAACCTCTAAATGATTTTTGACATGAATTTTCAGATCGGACATCAACGCGGCTAATGATCTTTAGGCAATGTGCATATTTCTTATAATGTTTAACAATACCCCAATCATCAATGCACCTAAAGTCTATTTAGGAATAATCTATGTTTATTAAATAATTAAAAACTTATCATTTGCCTCTACTAGCTGATCTAATATCCAAACCAGTGTCTAATGATCAATGCCATTCATTTATATATTAAAAGTGGAAAATAAAAGTTCTTGAGAGTATAAAAATGGCAAATTTAATGTAAATGTATCATATAGTACTTCAATTTTAATAGAATTATATAAATTATAACTAAATAAGATATGTGCACATCTAAGTGTCATAAGTACATTTCATTGTAAAACATGATGATAACAATAAATTGTTAATTACATATTGAATATAACGACATCACGGATACGTACAAGAACAACAAAAGAGCGAAATGTGTCGTTAAATGGGTGAATTGGACGGTTTTGAACTTCTTTTTAACTGTTCTTAAATTTTTCGATACTTTCAAAAGTGATTAGTCGAATAATTCTCAGTTTCTTTGATCAAATTGATCCAACTGATTTTAAGTTGTCAGTAATGGATATATGCAAAATAATCAACCCTTCTAAATATTATAAATTATAAGTACTACTCCAAAAATAAGTCATTATAAATGTTTACGTTACTGTTTATCATTTCATAAAAAAAGTCACCATAAATTTAATTCTAACTCTAATATGTCAGAAAAGGTTGGCTCTGAACTGGAACAGTTCACATCCAAAAAATTCCTACACATACTCACAACACGTGGCAACCCTAAATACAATAAGTCCAAAGAGGGATTAGGTTGCACGAAATTTTTAAATGAATTGTGGTAATTTTATCAAATTACATTTCATTATAAATGTTAGCTAAAGTTCACAATCTTTAGCCATCTTTGGAAATATACATAAAAAAAGAGAGGAGAGGAGAAGAGAGTGTATGAACTCAGCAAAAACACTCAAACACTTTCTCACTCTTGATTTTCAGGTGAGCTTCATTTTCTCTCTCCTGCTGCATGCATGTATATACACCACTGTTATCACACACAAAAATGCAGGGGGTTCTTGTTTTGGGATGGAGGGTGTGGGTAGAGTGAAAAATCGATTTTTATGGGACTTTGACCCGAGAATTCTGTGCATTTCATTTCTAACTTTAAATCACAAAATAAATGTCCATGTACAGAGATGAAAATTTGGTACGTTTGATGTTTGTGATGAATCTGATGATGATATTCTTTGAGAAATTTATCACTATTTTTGCATTTTTTTCTTTAATTTATGTTTATGTATGGTGTTTACAAGTTTTTGTGTGCAGTTTATTTCTGGGTTCTTCTTGAAGAATTAATGGCGAAAAAGAACGAGAAAAAGGTGGAAGAGGTGGAGAAGAAGCAACATATGAGAAGGCCATGCTGTGTCAAAGACAGAGTGAGAAGAGGGACTTGGACTCCTGAAGAGGACAAAATTCTTATTGACTTCATAAGAGAAAATGGGCATGTAACTTGGCAAGAGTTACCTGAACTTGCTGGTTTGTCTTTATTGCCCTCTTCTTTTTCATCTAGTAGTTTGATTATGTAACTCCGTTCGATTGGTCGATCGATCGATCGAACCAAGTGACGACAAAAAGATTTACATGGCACACATTTATCCCTTTTGATTTGGATTGAGTGACGACAAAGGATTTAGATGGCAGACATATATCCTTTTGGTTTGGATCGAGTGACGATAACGTATTTACATGGCAGACATTTACCCCTTTTATATTTGATTATTGGATGAATTATGCTTGAACACACTATCTATAGATACTATAGAAATACAACAATCAATCAACGAGCTCCCATTCTGCCCCCTGTTATTCTTCATTAAATGCGATAATAAATGTGATCTGATCATAATTGTCTATTAGGAGACTAAGAGTGACCTCTTGCTTATGTGATAATTACAGGTCTGAACCGATGTGGAAAGAGCTGTCGACTTCGTTGGACAAACTATTTACGACCCGACATCAAACGTGGTACCTTTAGTCTGGAGGAAGAGTATACTATTTCTCGTCTCCATGCAGCAATTGGTAGCAAGTAATTCAAGTGCCTTGAATTCGACTCTTTCTTTTTCGCGCTGAACTTCTTTGATGCCTCATCTTGAAGAACATACCAATTCAGCCTTGTGAATGTGATTTGCCGTTAGCAACTAGTAGTTGCCTTTCCGGTTGTTGATAATTAATAAACATTTTGTATCTATCGCATTTAAACTTTCCGGTACATTTATCTTTGTATAAAGACTGGTAATATCTCGTACTGCCAGTTTAATCCACCTAGATTTCACGAGAAAACCCAATTCTTCTTTTGGAAAAAGATTTGAACCAGTGAAAAATAGTAGAAAATGCATTACAGATTCATTTTGAGGTTTCCATAATGCAATCTGCTTATTGTTTTATCAGATGGTCTATCATAGCAGCCAACCTACCGGGAAGAACAGATAATGACATAAAAAATTACTGGAATTCGCATCTAAGGAGGCGCTTTGACAGTATACAATCCCACCAGCCGTCCTCTTCCATATCGGTGGGCATGCATTCAAAATCTGCACCAGCTCGACACAAGGCAGAATGGGAGTGTGTTCGACTAGAGGCTGAGGCTCGACTGCCCAAAAATCCAGTGCTTCCCAATCCACCATCTATGGCTAATTCAGGGGGTGACTTTTTCCTCCGCATGTGGAACTCTGAAGTTGGGAAAGCCTTTCTAAACATTAATGCGAGCACTAAGGAATGCAGTGGAACAAAAACTCAGAGTCTTGTATCTCAGATATCACTGACAAAAGTTGGAGACTTTGAGGTTGGGAAATCGTTTCACAACTTCAAGGCAAGAATTGGTGAATGCAGTGGGACAAAAACTGGCAGCCCTGTATCTCAGACATCGTCAATGACAAAAGTTGATTCTGGTTCGTGTTCGGGAGTTACAATGAATGCTGTGCATTGTAAGAACCTAGGATCCACCGACATGACAGGCCAACAACACATGGGAAGTACAAGCAGTTATAAGGAAGCAGATGTCATGGCAGCTTATTCAAACTCAACAGAGACGTATGATTTGGATGATTCTGAAGCAATGTGGAATATGTTACTAGAATTCTCTGATACTGGCAATGATTTGGGATTCCTATGAAGACTGGTAGGGGATGTTCTAAACCAAGGAGGATCGTGCATTTAAAACCTATTACCTAGTCTTCAGCTATCGTATTTAGTCAAGCTAATCTCCTGGTTTTCATCTATTAGCTTCTTTTAACTTTTAGTTTGGGCATTGAGAAACTTAACTACAGCTATGAAAGCTTTGTCATATGTTTGGGTAATGTTTCATGTTAGTAGAGGATAACTCTACAACTTTCTCTGAATGTTTGTTTTGAAGGAATTGGCTTAAAAAAGTAATGCAATTATATTTGATACATAGTACTCGAAAGCATTACACAATACAACAAAGTGCAAAATTCTGTCGAGCACTATTACCAAACATGTAGGGATTCGTCATAGAATATGCATTTTAGCATTCCAAATACTACAAAATTCCTTCCAAACTCTTTTTTTTTTTTTTTTTTTTTTCACAAAGCCAATATCTACAAACATATACCAACAATATGCACACATAATAGAACAGCCTATCAATTCTTCACCAAATTAGAACACAAATTCTCAAACCAAAAAGTTTTACAAATGCAACTTCAGTTTCAAATCAAACTAAATAATTCAGCTTCAAAAAAATCCTAGCAGTTTCTTCGGGGCAGTTCCTGTGGCACGGTATTTTGCAGCAGTTTCCTCTGCCTTGAGAAGATCTTCTCCTCGTTTGGCTTCAATCATTGCCCTCTTCTCTTCTGCTGCCTTGTGAATAAGAGCAACCTTGTTCTTCATTTTCTCGACATATTCCGCTTTCTTTTTCTCCAGTTGCTCCTAGAGGATTTAGATATTATGATTAACTGAAACTAAGGAGAAAACTACACATTTTGATCGTTAAAATTTCAAAACAAAAGAAAACTATGTAAAGACTTGGTTTTGTTACCTCAATCTTCTTGAGCTCAGCCTCCAGACTTGCTTTCTTGCTGTTCTCCCATGCTCCTATGGCAGATAACTTTTTCTGAGATCTGCAAATAATTTCAAATTTCTTGATTTGGTATCGACTCATCAATATCATCCATGTTGGATTTGCTGTTTGTAAAATGGATTTGAGTGATTTCTTTCAAAATTGAACTTTCTAACCTTACCAAAATTGGACAGAGTAACGGCAAGAAAATGGATACAAAGTTGAGGCAAGAGTTCAACTCTTTGTTTTTAAGTCGATTTTGCGTCACAATGGTGCCTATTGATAATGGCACTAAACTTTCAAGATATAACGACTACCTTCTTGTATTTATAGCGCTCCAAAACACAAGAAACAACGAACCAAAAAGATGGCTTTGTACTTCTTTCAAATGAAATGAAAACAGATTTTTATGCAAAATTCAGGCTAAGGAAATATGATTTTTATGTTATGTTATGATTTCCTATGGTTGGGATATAGTAAAGGACCTCCCAAGGGTCTTATTTATAGAAGAGGAGATGTTGTGACTGAAGAGACACGCTCCAAGACTCATCAGCTTTTACAAAAGGTCGCAACCTTGTCCGCCGCTCACCTACCACAGGTGCGTTACACTAGTGCCAGTGGCATTTTTTATGCAGGGACCTTTTCACTCACCTGGTGCTTGACATCGCTCGAACAGTGTCACTGTCACTCCCTTACCACTCGAGCAGTGGAGTTATGCAAATTCTCAACCAATTTTTCAAAATTTTTTTTTTTTTAGCCAACTTTGAACTGCAATTTCTAATTCATTCGAAATTGATTTTGAAATTTCAAATATGCCACGACGATTTACTCGACAAGTAGAACTAGTAAGTTTATTTATTTCCATAATTTGACTATCGAATCAAATCCAAATATTTAGCTGAAGTTGACTCGAAAGTCACTTTTCCCTCTATGGTTTCGTACTCAACCATCTTACTTCTCGTTTAAACCAATCCCCGACAAGATTTTGAGTCCAATTCATATTGAATTTGAATAAACTCTTTAAAAGCAGAGAAAATTAAGCCTCTCTTTGATATTCATGTTCCCTAGAGGGTTCTTGAGTTGTGGATATTCATGGTTGTTCGACTAACATCCACACACACTAAGCATTCTAAGGTGAGTCGTGTGACTAAAATCGTATATCATGGAGTTATTACGGGAAGTTGGGCTTGTGAAGATTGTGTATCCAAGTACCAAAATAGACATTTTTGACAAATCCAAAAAAATAAATAAATAAATAAATAAAAATCAGCAATATTAAGCCAGACTAGCTTAAGAAAATAATTTGCAGACTTCATGGATAAGTAAAGAATTTAGTATGCCCAAAAAACACTTACTTGTTATCAGCTTTTGATTTCTCACTTTCTTCCCATGCTTTAATTAAAGACAATCTCTTCTCCGTAGTAACTCGAGCAAGTACAGCATCTGAGGCCATATTAATATAAAGAACTAAGCTTCCGTGTAAATTTCGACCGAACACTCACAACTACTGATTATTTATTATTCCAACATTTCGTGGGATCCAATAAATTCCTCTTTATAAATTGATTAATTAACAGAGGCTAATTATGTTATCAATACATTTACTAGTTAAAACTTCTGATAGCATGTATGCTTCTGCACTTAAAAAGGCAACTTTTCTCGACTTTTTCGCGTGGTATCACCCGAATAAGCACATAAAAATGTACTTTTTAGTACGTCAACCACACTATAAAAAGACAATACAATAACTTGTAATCTTAAATTACCTCTGTTAATAGAGCCCTCAAGTTTTTTCTCCTCAGCAGGTTCTGGTTCTTTGCTCAGGAGGAAGAAGAAAAGTCACAAACAATTAATACAAAAATTGTTACTAATTAACTTAATTTGTGCAAGGCATGACTTAAATTATATATCTTGGTAAACCTAATCAAATGAAAAAAAGTTAATTATCCATGTAAATTTTCCAAGTTGAGACGTCAAAAAATGGCTCATCAGTTGACATAGAAAAATATTAAAATAACTAACTCAGTGAATATCTCTTATAAGGCTAGTATGGGCATATGTACATTTAAATTGAGAAAAGGAAACTTTTGCCCTCAAATTTGTAAAAAATCCAGAAAAATGGAAATATCAGTGCAGTGCAAGAAAAAAGGCTGGGACTAACTTGCGACCGATCTCAACATTGAGGACCGAGTGTGTAATTTACTCATTTCTTAAAAAAAAAAAAAAAAAAAACCATAAAAAAAAAAAAAAAAAAAAAAAACCTTATTTTTGTCATTAATTTTATTTTTACTGAAAATAATGGATTTCATCATAAATAGGTAAAATTACTTCTTTAAATAGATATAACACAAAAATAATCTGAAAATGAAATAAAAAATTTGCATACAATGAGAGTTGGGTAGGTAAAGAAATTACTTTCAACAACAGCAAGAGCTTTACACTCATCAGCAGCTGGTTTCTCCTCCGGTGGAGGAAGTGGTGGTGGAATTACAGATTTCTCCTCCGTGACATCTTTCGGAGCTGCTTCAACTGTTTCCTCCGGAGGTGGTGGTGGAGCCTCAGAACGTGGATCAGCCTCCACTTTCTTGGCTTCCTCCTCCGCCATCACTTCAGAAAACTTAGCTATCTTGTTAATTTTGCTCTAACAGATACTACAAAAAAGTCGAGAATTGTAGAAGAAGATTCTATGAGCAGGGGAAGACGTTGTGGAGAAAAATTCTATGAGTTTGTTGGTGGGTTTGGGAGATATTTGTGTAATTGGTTGGTGGAAGGTAACTGTCACTTGAAAACAGAACAGGAGACTCGGCTGGATGATTGGTACGCTAAAGATATTGGCACAGAGATTCTATTCTGGGGATTTGCATTTTAAGGAAAAAAAAATATACGGTAGAATGATTAAGAATAAAATAATTAATAATTCGTAATTCTTGTCGCCTTTGGGATCGGAATATTGGAAAGGACTCTGCTGCACTGTCAGAAGAGAATCAACAGAAGTCTTGACAGACCCTCACATTTGGAGGTGGGGTCCATTTCTTCCTTCTAATTATTTATTCATGTAGGTCCCGACATTGTGAATATTTGTCAAGCCCCATGTCAAAATTTTTCCAACACTTCAGCATTTTCCTATTGGGAATGCCTCGTTTACAAATTAATTGGTATTCACTATAAATAAATTTGTATCTTGTGAGAATAATTATAACATTTTTATGACATTCGACCAATATCATTCAACTGATTCAACTTGTAGATCTAAGAGTAATGTTCACTCAATCAAGTACTCAATTTGACCAATATGAATCATGTGAATTTTGTCTATATATATTCTTCTTCCATTTTATCTTTATATGCATTAAAAATAAAAAATAAAAAAATCTTAAACCCAACTCAATGGAAGAAATATATTCTCTCTTAAGCAAAGTGGTCCATAATGCTGCTTCTTTAGACCATTTCATGTTGCTTTTCCTTCTACTTTTAAAAGCACACTCATATACAGTGTAATAAAATTAATCATATTAGATCCACGCTACTAAAATCCTCGTCGTAGACATGACATATTTTTTGTTTTTCTTTTGATACAGGATAATTGATCATGATTTTTTGCAAGCTTTGATGTGATAATTAGTACTTGAAGTGCTTTAGCTTTACTTGATTCCAGCATTGTATAGAAATAATACTAAATGATAATATAATATTGTGTCTTCATGCTTTTCACACAAATGTGAAGGTTGTGTGTGCAGTATACCAGTACCACTTCAGTTCATTAAATTATCGTTCAATTAAAATTAATTGGAGCATTAGCTCAGAGAGTTCCGAATTGAAAGATAAACTGAATTATTACATTTTCCGTAATATGGAGTATCGTGTTATTATAATAATTAAAAAGATAAGCTGTCATACACAAAAAAATAAAAAATAAAAATATAAAAAGAAATAGACAAGTGTGATATTTTAGCTAGAAGACAGATGTATATAGATGGGTGAAAGATCACATGTAATCCTCTCCAATCTTTTCTTTTTGTTAATTATTTTTTTCTTGGGAATCAATATGAAAGAATCCTCTTCCTCTTTAATAGCAATCATCGCTACAAGACCCAAAAATTCCATCAAATATGAGCTGTTCTTTTTTGGTTTAGGCAGCCACAAAAATAAAGTGACGAGCCGAATTTCAATTATTTTGACCAAAAGGCCCACTTAAAAGCATCCAATTCTTGAATTCATGCTTTTCTCCAATCCCCTTATTAGCTTTCACTGAATGTGAAGCCAGAGCTCTCACTCCAATACAACAACCATTGATTTCATCCACATCCCTTATGCAGTCATCAACTGCTGTACCGGCACATCCATTGTTCTGAGCTTGTACAGCAAGTTTGCCGCCTAATATTGCACATCTCAACTACCTTCACCGTCAACAACCAAAACTCTTCCATTACCTTTCTCCTCGAGAAATTCACGATCCAAAACATATCTTCAAATAATTTTGGCGTAAACTGGTCCAGAGAACACTAGGCGCCTACCATATATATCTGGAATATATTCATTGAATCCAGGTAATAGGATTATTACCGGACTATAGAAGTTGGTCCAGCAGATACTTTAAACTTCAAAATAATTATAGTATAAATATAGCACCGGACTTCAATTTTTGCAACGGATCCCTTACGATGTATGTCGGCCGAGGAGGGCATAATAATGGAAAGATAATATCAGGGACATACAACCTTTCTCAACTGATATTTAGTGACCATTTAACAAATAAACTAAAGAACAATTGAACCTAAGTCCACACAAAGTAAACAAATGAACATAAAAAAAAAAAAAAAAAAAAAGTTCAGAAACTATTAGTACCTGTTTGCATTGATGATTCTCTATATACCCTGGGAAATTTGAGATGAAAAAAAGCTTGAGAATGCCAGAGAGTTACTTCTTGTTGCTACAATACTTGGGTCATAAAGAAGCACCCTTTTTGTTAGTGGTATAGATTAACCAAATATAAGAACTTAAAAACTTGCCACTCTCTTGAACAATTTTAGCAAATACATGATCATGCAAACTTCTTGCCATATTGTAATCAACGCTAAAATCTTCTGTTGAAAGTATGAAAACTTTTATCAATCCAGACCAGCATACTTTGCCCCCTCCATTTCCATTTGTTGCAAAAGATAGCATCTGCAGTTGATCAAATAAAGATCAGGATGCAATAGGAGAAGATTTTCCGGTATAAGATAGAAGTTCAATTAATGCACCCGAATTGCTCTCTTATCGATTGGAGTCAATGCTTGATGGCAAGACGCTAAACTCTTATTGTTCAATGATGAACTTGAACGTTGTGAAGCCTCCTTCGTCTCTTTCCTTCGACTATTCTCTGAGGTGATGCCTCCTTGGTACAATTCAAGAATAGATGAACTCTTCCTTCTAGTAACCTTTGATGCGAGGATAAGTTACATGGAAGAGAATGTTGTTGCAATCTACTCTTTTCCCTTATTCTGTTTAGAAACTCAATCGTCCAGGACAATCCTGGTTGAGGTCGGGTGGAGAAGAAGAGAATTAGAAAGTGGTGTTCTGCCATAGTTTTGAGGACCCTTTTCTTGGAAAGATAATTTGTAGGAATTTTGTCTGTAACATATCCTCCTGGAAGTGCCTTTTCTGGCACTTCAATGATTTTTTTTTTTTTTCAACTGTATCAAAATGTTCCCTAATTTCTTCCTTTGAACTTTGTCTAATGTCCCTAATAGAAACCCAGGCATCTGAGGCAGAATTAATTTCAACAGCATCTGTATAAATAGGAACTTTGCTTACTCCTGGAAATGGTTTATTCATTCTGGATTTTCTCGTTGCATAATCTAACCAACACCACCCGCTCCCCCCCCAATCAAGCAGAAATGGTGAACAGTCACCGATATTTCTAAATGCTGGAGTATCGTCGATGTCAATAACTTCACCAATCAAATCTTCCTGTAGATTTTCAGAAGCCTTGGTATTTTGTCTACTATAGTTGATCATTGCAGATGTACCTGATCTCCCTCTTCGATCATAATTTACACCAATCTGAGCCATTGTAGCCTTCTCCATCTCACCTAGTATTTCGAGATCTGATGCACCTGAAAAATCATGAAATCTTAACATGGTGGATTGAATTCATCATTGTGTTGATATCTAATCCCTGGCTATGATGAAACAGTTTGTCATCGAAAGATAAATTTGACTTACCCAGATTCATCAAATTTCTCTGTACTTCCTGACAGCCAAGAATCACATGAAATTGATGCTTTGGGTGATGGAGTACGTCGCCTGAAAATAGCTTTCAATGACTCCATATGAAACAAATCGTTTGGAGGCTCTCTGGCATCATAAAGATTGTGAGTATATTTTAGTTTCTTCCCCTCAGAAGCACTTCTGAATTCAGCAGTCTCTAAGTCGGGAGCTGAAGACACTAAAGAGGAGCAGCCTGTCATTCCAGATTTTGAATCCTCCCAAACTCCATATCAGCTCTTTTCACTTAGCAAAGCAATGGTTTCGTCAGAAACCTGAGATTCTTATAGAGCCCAAATTTTATCCTCAACGGAAATTTCTAGAAATTCAATGCGTGTGCCTCCTGAAGACATTATAGCATGAGCTGAGAGAGGATTAATTGAAGGAAATACGGGGAGGAAGTATTTAGCCAGACTTTCTGAGTGGGTATTTTAGGACAAAATCCCCTATTTGAATTTATTCCTACCTCAATGCAGGATAATAGAGTTTTGTCAGTCATCTTCAGATGAATATGAACAGAAGAGATGTATATCGATTCCTAAGCTAGCTGCTGCAGCATAGAGTTCATTTGATTCCATAATTCCTGATAGAAAATTGGCTTATCCCTCTAAAATCTGGAATAGAAAAAATATCAAAGATTAAAACGTCTAAAGAAACTTCTATTACTACAAACACTGGTGAAGGTTTAGTCTATTGCAATGACAATAACACACAGTGGACTAATGTTGCTACCAGAAACTGTGAATCTTCTATTGTGTTTTCTCTGTCCAAAACTGTAAATCGAGGTTTTCACTATAATACATTATTTGCACTTGTCTTTAAACTTAAGGACTCACACTTGGAATTAAACATTTCAAAATTCTCCTAATAAGGACTTGCATGGAGCAAAGAAAAGTGTCTGCTTGCATAAATAGCGTTTCATGAGCCATCATATACTGAAACTGGAAGGTCAAATATATAATGCGCGCCGGTAGAATTTCATGATAATGCAATATTTGTTCAGCATTACATGTCTGTAACTAGTCAATCTTCAAGAGATCGTGCAAGAAAAATGTCATGACAAGTCAGTGATTAACTGGACTCCTATCTCGAGATTAAGCTGGAAAAGAAAGAAGCCATTAGTTCCTCACTTCCCAGAAACAACAAGGGAAGATTTCACTACATCAGGTAAAGAAATTGTCACTTAAAATTTTTCCATCATTTACTTCTAAAGCGATCAATACTTACTCATAGGATATCACACAACAATCCAAGGAAAGCATAATATTTAGTATGGTGTCCATGAACTCATGACCCTGTTGACTTGCATCCGACGATAAATGATGTAGCTCATTATATAATATCTTCATGATGTCAACAGTCTCTTCAATGGCCACAATAAAACTTGGTCAGCAAACAATTAATATTTTTAAACAGCTGCTGCTTAATTTTGTCCGCAAAATATCATGCACGACAGAAAGGGAGGGATGAATTTCACATATATCTTTCTCAGCCATCTCATCCGCAACTTTGATCAAGTTATACAGAAAACATAATCTGGATTTTAAGCACTGCAGGCTGCTGCACAACCTGTCTACATATAGGTAAGTGGCATGACTCCATAGAAACAGAGGTAGAGAGGCATTTGTTTAATTGCACACAACGTCATCAACAATATAATATTATTGTCATTGTGAGCTGAATAAGTACTTGATGCACTTTTTTCTTAAGACCATCCATGAGTTCTTCTTTAGAAAGGCAGAGTAAAATCAGGTTCTCACTAGCTTGATCTAGACTCTGGTGCAACCCGACAATCCACTGCTGTTGAACCATGGTGGTAGTATTACTAGCAATAGAATCATCATTTGCAGAAAGCCCTGGACATGTAACAATATCAACAAACTTATCTGCAAGTTTACTTTCTTTTCCTGTGACATCAATTGAAATTTAAGAAAAAATCAAGATCGCTAGACATGGATTCCACAAACAAAGGAACCTTCTCAATGCCGGCTTTCGACAACATGTCCGTGTTTAACCTTTTTTATCTCTGTGGTTATAAAAACTATCTGAATCTTTCTCATCAACAGAAGTATGAAACATATAAAAAAAAACCAGCAGAAAGTAAGTTCAGCATTTTCTTTAAGGCTTCTGAGTGGTTTGTCAGAACAATCCTTAGGGAGATTGATATCATAGGTCTGTTTCCTACTATCAATCAAGTACATAGAAGCATCTATCTTGTAAGTATCTATCTCCCACAGCATTTTCCTACAAGAAGAATATTTACCAAAGTTGTCATCTTCCAGAAAATGCCAATCTAGATATAGACCATCAGGTGTTGATGAAGACTGTGATTTCCCGTGTTAATTTTTGCTCAACCAATAAATGCAGACCTAATTCTTCCATGGCCAGAAATAATAGGTACTGGCAATGATTTGAAAGAGTCATCCATGTGAGAAAGTTTGGACAAACAATCAATTCACTAAAATTCCTAAAGATCATAGTTTCTCTGAAACATGAATTCACACGGTTCTGCTTCAATCTCTTTGGCTGCATCTGAGAAGACCACACAAGAACAAGATGGATCCTTATCAAAGAATTGGAATTCTTAAAATAGACGCATGTTCATTGATCCAATTATATAACCATCTGCTTTGCCTTGATGGAATGTTGGGTACTCTTCACAATGAGATTGTTCTACAACACTTAAGTAGTCCATTTGCAGTGCAAAATTTGAGCAGTGCAACTCAACTTCAAGGCACTGAACTGCTAAATGATGACCAGAGAGATATTTCATTAAGTCAAATTCAATTGAACTCAAAAGCTCCTTGCCATCATCCAATACTAGTTCTGTCCGATGCTGAGGTTCAATATTTTAAAAATCTCGAAGCTCATCCTCCATATTTATATTTCTGATGATACCCTGACTTTCCCCGTCCACTTCAAAATGGAGAAAGTGAAGATTATGAAAATGAAGCTCTCTTTCACAGGAACCAACATCTTCCAAAAAATCAGCCTTTTGTTCCATAGTCTAAACTGATGTCATCAACTGAATAAAACTGATTGTTGAATCTAAGAAGATTAGGTAAACTAAGGTCAGAAGTGGGCATAGCCTACAAGATGATACCCAGACTTTCCCCGTCCACTTCAAAGTGGGGAAAGTGGAGATTATGAAAATGAAGCTTTCCTTCAAAGGAACCAGCATCTTCCAAAAAATTAGCCTTTTGTTTCATAGCGTATTCTAAACTTATGTCATCGACTGAATAAATTGACTGTTGAATCTTAAGAAGATTAGGTAAACTAAGGTCAGAAGTGGGCATAACCTGCATGAAGTTACAAATTTAACTTCAACTAACAAGTGATATCTTTATTCTTAGACTGGATAAGAATATGTACATGCCATCCAGGTTGTGGAAATGTCTAAAGCGTTGAGTAGACCAGTCCTGGATGCAACTCTGAAGGGTAAAGAAGGACTGTAGAGCAGTTTTTTAAGTCAGTTTATGGTTCCACAACAAGTTGAACAGTGAGAGAAAATGGTGCCCTAAACTTCTTAGATGACGTAGAGTTAGACTCAAGGTGTTCTCTGCATAATCCCTCACTTATCAGGACTTCAATCTATATTGATCAACTTTCAAGCCAACCAACAATTAAATCTCCAGCCACTAAATCATTAATGTTAGAAAGTGATGAAGAAAACAGTTGTACAGTGAATTGGGAAAAAGGAAAGAATTGTTAACATTCTAGTGCACTTCTACTGCTCAATAGAGGGTGTTGGGTATTGATTTGAACAAAATTTAATACCTATGCCTGGAGACATAAACAAAAACTTCTAAGCATTTACCATAGATAGTACACTCAGTAAGTGAAGTCTGGGAGAGAATATTCAAGTCCTCCACCTGGGATTAGATATCACTATTCTGCTGATTAGAAAGAAAATGTAAATAAGTAGAAATACCTATTTGTTCACGTCTGTTACCAGGACATCAATCTGTATGCAACACTTGGAAGGGATTGTTTTTTTTTTTTTTTTTTTCACAAAGCCAATATCTACAAACAAATACCAACAATATGCACACATAATAGAACAGCCTATCAATTCTTCACCAAATTAGAACACAAATTCTCAAACCAAAAAGTTTTACAAATGCAACTTCAGTTTCAAATCAAACTAAATAATTCAGCTTCAAAAAAATCCTAGCAGTTTCTTCGGGGCAGTTCCTGTGGCACGGTATTTTGCAGCAGTTTCCTCTGCCTTGAGAAGATCTTCTCCTCGTTTGGCTTCAATCATTGCCCTCTTCTCTTCTGCTGCCTTGTGAATAAGAGCAACCTTGTTCTTCATTTTCTCGACATATTCCGCTTTCTTTTTCTCCAGTTGCTCCTAGAGGATTTAGATATTATGATTAACTGAAACTAAGGAGAAAACTACACATTTTGATCGTTAAAATTTCAAAACAAAAGAAAACTATGTAAAGACTTGGTTTTGTTACCTCAATCTTCTTGAGCTCAGCCTCCAGACTTGCTTTCTTGCTGTTCTCCCATGCTCCTATGGCAGATAACTTTTTCTGAGATCTGCAAATAATTTCAAATTTCTTGATTTGGTATCGACTCATCAATATCATCCATGTTGGATTTGCTGTTTGTAAAATGGATTTGAGTGATTTCTTTCAAAATTGAACTTTCTAACCTTACCAAAATTGGACAGAGTAACGACAAGAAAATGGATACAAAGTCGAGGCAAAAGTTGAACTCTTTGTTTTTAAGTCGATTTTGCCTCACGATGGTGCCTATTGATAATGGCATTAAACTTTCAAGATATAACGACTACCTTCTTGTATTTGTAGCGCTCCAAAACACAAGAAACAACGAACCAAAAAGATGGCTTTGTACTCCTTTCAAATGAAATGAAAACAGATTTTTATGTAAAATTCAGGCTAAGGAAATATGATTTTTATGTTATGTTATGATTTCCTATGGTTGGGATATAGTAAAGGACCTCCCAAGGGTCTTATTTATAGAAGAGGAGATGTTGTGACTGAAGAGACACGCTCCACGACTCATCAGCTTTTACAAAAGGTTGCAACCTAGTCCGCCGCTCGCCTACCACAGGTGCGTTACTCTAGCGCCAGTGGCATTTTTTATGCAGTGACCTTTTCACTCACCTGGTACTTGACATCGCTCGAACAGTGTCACTGTCGCTCCCTCACCACTCGAGCAGTGGAGTTATGCAAATTCTCAACCAATTTTTCAATTTTTTTTTTTTTTTTTTTTGCCAACTTTGAACTGCAATTTCTAATTCATTCGAAATTGATTTTGAGATTTCAAATATGCCACGACGATTTACTCGACAAGTAGAACTAGTAAGTTTATTTATTTCCATAATTTGACTATCGAATCAAGTCCAAATATTTAGCCGAAGTTGACTCGAAAGTCACTTTTCCCTTTATGGTTTCGTACTCAACCATCTTACTTCTCATTTAAACCAATCCCCGACAAGATTTTGGGTCCAATTCATATTGAATTTGAATAAACTCTTTAAAAGCAGAGAAAATTAAGCCTCTCTTTGATATTCATGTTCCCTAAAACACTTACTACCTTAAGAAAATAATTTGCAAACTTCATGGATAAGTAAAGAATTTAGTATGCCCAAAAAACACTTACTTGTTATCAGCTTTTGATTTCTCACTTTCTTCCCATGCTTTAATTAATGACAATCTCTTCTCCGTAGTAACTCGAGCAAGCACAGCATCTGAGGCCATATTAATATAAAGAACTAAGCTTCCATATAAATTTCGACCGAACACTCACAACTACTGATTATTTATTATTCCAACATTTCGTGGGATCCAATAAATTCCTCTTTATAAATTGATTAATTAACAGAGGCTAATTATATTATCAATACATTTACTAGTTAAAACTTCTGGTAGCATAAAAAGGCAACTTTTCTCGACTTATTTTGGTGGTACCACCCAAATAAGCACAAAAAAATTTACTTTTTAGTACGTCAACCGCGCTATAAAAAGACAATACCATAACTTGTGATCTTAAATTACCTCTGTTAATAGAGCCCTCAAGTTTTTTCTCCTCAACAGGTTCTGGTTCTTTGCTCAGGAGGAAGAAGAAAAGTCACAAACAATTAATAAAAAAATTGTTACTATATACTCAATTTGTGCAAGGCATGACTTAAATTATATATCTTGGTAAACCTAATCAAATGAAAAAAAGTTAATCGTCCATGGAAATTTTCCAAGTTGAGACGTCAAAAAATGGCTCATCAGTTGAAATAGAAAAACATAAAAATAACTAACTCCGTGAATATTTCTTATTAGGCTAGTATGGGTGAATGTACATTTAAATTGACAAAAGGAAACTTTTGCCCTCAAATTTGTAAAAAATCTAGAAAAATGGAAATATCAGTGCAGTGCAAGAAAAAACGGCTGGGACTAACTTGCGACCGATCTCAACATTGAGGACCGTGTGTGTAATTTACTCACTTCTTAAAAAAATAACAAAAACCATAAGGAATATTTATTAAAAAAAAAAAAAAGAGTTATTTTTGTCATTATTTTTATTTTTACTGAAAATAATGGATTTCAACATAAATAGGTAAAATAACTTCTTTAAATAGATATAACACAAAAATAATCTGAAAATGAAATAAAAAATATGCATACAATGAGAGTTGGGTAGGTAAAGAAATTACTTTCAATAACAGCAAGAGCTTTACACTCATCAGCAGCTGGTTTCTCCTCCGGTGGAGGAAGTGGTGGTGGAATTACAGATTTCTCCTCCGTGACATCTTTCGGAGCTGCTTCAACTGTTTCCTCCGGAGGTTGTGGTGGAGCCTCAGAACGTGGATCAGCCTCCACTTTCTTGGCTTCCTCCTCCGCCATCACTTCAGAAAACTTAGCTATCTTGTTAATTTTGCTCTAACAGATACTACAAAAAAGTCGAGAATTGTAGAAGAAGATTCTATGAGCAGGGGAAGACGTTGTGGAGAAAAATTCTATGAGTTTGTTGGTGGGTTTGGGAGATATTTGTGTAATTGGTTGGTGGAAGGTAACTGTCACTTGAAAACAGAACAGGAGACTCGGCTGGATGATTGGTACGCTAAAGATATTGGCACAGAGATTCTATTCTGGGGATTTGCATTTTAAGGAATAAAATATACGGTAGAATGATTAAGAATAAAATAATCAACAATTCGTAATTCTTGTCGACTTTGGGATCGGGTTAGTGGGAATGCCTCGTCTGCAAATTAAGGTTCCGTTTGGCGCACATTAATGTAAAAATGAGAATGAAAAATAAAATCGTTACGGATTCCTCACAAGAGATAGAAAGTAAAAAACTAATGACTTAATGTGATGAATAACGATTATATTTTTCTTTTTAATGGGCAAATAATAAGACACAAACGAGGGCTAATTCACTATAAATAAATTTGTATCTTGTGAGAACAATTATAACATTTTTATAAAATTCGACTAATATCATTCAACTTATTCAACCTGTAGATCTAAGAGTAACATTTACTCAATTGAGTACTCAATTTGACCAATATGAATTTTGTGAATTTTGTCTATATATATATATATATTGTTATTTTTCTTCCATTTAATCTTTATATGCATTAAAAAAAATTTACTCAATGGAACAAATATATTCTCTCTTAAGCAAAGTGCTCCATAATGCTGCTTGCCTGCTTCTTTAGACCATTTCATGTTGCTTTTCCTTTTACTTTTAAAAGCACACTCATATACAGTGTGATAAAAATTAATCATATTAGATCCACGCTACTAAAATTTTATATGTACATGGTCCTCGTCGTAGACGTGACAGATTTTTTGTTTTTCTTTTGATACAGGATAGTTTATCATGATTTTTTGCAAGCTTTGATGTGATAATTAGTACTTGAAGTGCTTTAGCTTTACTTGATTCCAGCATTGTATAGAAATAATACTAAATGATAATATAATATTGTGTCTTCATGCTTTTCACACAAATGTGAAGGTTGTGTGTGCAGTATACCAGTACCACTTCAGTTCATTAAATTATCGTTCAATTAAAATTAATTGGAGCATTAGCTCAGAGAGTTCCGAATTGAAAGATAAACTGAATTATTACATTTTCCGTAATATGGAGTATCGTGTTATTATAATAATTAAAAAGATAAGCTGTCATACACAAAAAAATAAAAAATAAAAATATAAAAAGAAATAGACAAGTGTGATATTTTAGCTAGAAGACAGATGTATATAGATGGGTGAAAGATCACATGTAATCCTCTCCAATCTTTTCTTTTTGTTAATTATTTTTTTCTTGGGAATCAATATGAAAGAATCCTCTTTAATAGCAATCATCGCTACAAGACCCAAAGGGAATGGAGTAAATATTGGGAGAATGAGAAATTATTTGGCTGCGGGTAGCGAGGGAAAGGAAGAAGGAGAAGGATGAAGTCTAAGGTCTGAACGGAGCCGACGGCTCCCGGCGTTGAAGAATCGATTTCGCATCGCACGTCAGATTCGCTGTGTGTGTGTTTATTAACGGATGAATTTTGCATTTTACGAGTCTGGCTCTCTAGATAAAGCGGAATTTATATGTAGAGTAGAGATAGATGTTCAATGCGGTCATTGTTCCTACGGTTATCTACAGTATTAACTTTTTGCGCCCGAAAAAAAGAAAGAAAGAAAGAAGCGTTTTAGTCCTTGTTTGAGTCTCATTTTTCAACCAAAATACATTTTTAAACAATAATTTGACATTATTTCAACCACACATTCTTAATAAAATAATATTATACGCAAATAAAAATTTTTTCCTTATTTTTTAACCACACATTTTTTATCAATACACTATTCAAAAATTCATTTTCTTAAAAAAAAATGGGGCTCAAACAAGAGCTCAAGGACGAAGTTGGAAAGTCCTGTTGATTTATCCAAAGGCTTCATTGTTCATTACA